GGGACACCGAACAGGTATACTAGATCAAACTATACTAATAACTAACAAAACAGATCTCACCACGTCCCTTAGAACAGCAGGATCGGCAGTCACAGTCAGCACTCTCCAAACTCCCACGTGGTAGGACAGCGGACTCTGCAGGCCTCAGCCTCAGATAAGCGAGACCAACGCAGGGACCCACTGTTCCCAAACCTCGCCGGAAGAGAAGAGAGCGAGGTGTCTAATCTCCGACCTATTTATACTCTGGTTTACGTAAAAATTGTGTGGAATACTGGGTACTTGGCTCCTTCCTTGGTTACAAACTGGTCACCAAAGAAGGCCTAGACTAAAACCATCACACCCCCACATCGCTGTCAAAGTGGGCGTACTGCTGCCGGTTGTAGATGAATCTCTCCATGAACCTCACCTGCTCTGTGCCGTTGATGAAGTAACACTCGCTGGTAGAGAACTCCTGGAACATCCCTGTGTGTGCAGGACACGGGTCAGGGGGTGCCTAGTGTCTCCCCACATCATCCCCTATCCCCCAATAGAAGGTTGACAGCTCAGGGGGCCACCCTGGACCCCCTTTCCCACTCCCCTCTGCCCCACGGCCCCCGCAGCGCCGGCTCTTGGCTGGGTGGGAACCCCCCCATCAGCCCCCCAAGGATGGACAGGCGGGTTGGAACCCCCCTTAGTGTGGGTCCAGCATCCCCCCCAGAGCTCCAGGGAACCGCTGCAGGGCTCCAGTGATGGGGGACACCGAGGGACCCCCATGGCACCCCTCTTCCTGCTCTCCTACCCCGCTTTTCCCACCTCTCCCATCCCTTCCCCACCGACTCTCCAATCCCCAGACCCTCTGGCGCTCAGTTTGGGGCTCCCACCCCCCTCCCAATAATTCCGTGGGTTCCTACCCCTCTCGCACTCACTTTTGGGGCTCCCACCCTCTCTTTTCTCTCCTCCTTGCCCCCTTCCCGCCCACCCCGCCCCCGCTCACACGAGAGCTCCTCGCTCCCAGCCGGGGGAGCTCCCAGCACCACCAGTACGGCCCCAGCTCCCCGCACACGCTCCATCCTCAGCGCCGGGCAGGTGCTGACACCCCAAAGCCAGCCGAGAGGGGCCGTTTTGGGGGGTTTTGGACGCGCTCTGATTGGCTGAGGGCAAAATCGGGGCCCGTTTTGCGTCTCGTCCTCCCGGCAACCGATGAGTCATCGACAAGGCGCGCTTTGATTGGTCACAGCTGTGTGAGCGCTTTCTGATTGGCTGATGCCGTTGGGGGCACTGCAGCCCAGGGGGTGGGGGGTTCTGGGGCTCCGTGGGGTGGACCCGGTTGGGAACAACCCCCGATCTCCCCCGGGGCCCGAGAGCGGAGCGGACCCGGTTGGGAACACCCCGCTCGTCTCCGCCGCTGCAGCCGCTTCCCCTGCTCCGGCTGCCGCCGCTCGGCCCCGGCCGGGCCCGCGGGCATCGCCGCTCCCGGCGCGGGTGGAGGGGTCGGGCCGGGCCGCGCCCGCTGTTCCAGTCCAGTCAGGGGCTGCCACGGGGTTCTTTAGGGGATGACTTTTTCGGGGACACCGAATATCGTCCGGCCTGCCCGGTGCCGCCCCGCCGGTCCCTCGGTGCGGCTCTTCTCGATACGGGGCGGCGGGACCCCCTTGGTGCGGCTCTTTATTCTCTTCTTTTATTTTCTGCATTTAATTCTATTCCCACCTCGCTCTGCCCTCGGTGCAGCCCTTTGACGACACCCGACAGCGGGTCCCTCGGGGCAGCTCTTTCGGTGACTCGGCGCGGCTCCTTTAGTGTATTTAATTCTCTCCTCTCGATTCCATTCACGCCTCCCTCGCCACACCCCCGGTGACCATTCCACGGCCGCCACTCCTCGCTCGTCCCTCGGGGCAGCTCTTTTACATACGGGGCGGTGGAGGCTCCCCGGGGCGTTTTTTTTTTTTGTTTTACTTTGGTTTACTCTGTATTTTATTCTGTTCCGACCTCGCTCCCTTCTCTGGCGACCCCCGCCAGGGCCCATCCCAGGCGGCTCTTCAGTGCCGGGGGCCGGCGGGGCCCCCCAAGGGCCGATCCCTCTCGCATTCACTTCAGTCTCCACTTTGTGTTCCCAGCCCGCCCGTCCCGGGGCGGCTCTTCTGTGTTTGTGTCTCTTTTCACACAGAGCTGGCATTTCATTGATCGATTCCCCACATTT